CAATTGCGCTACACATGTTACATATTGAAGCGAACGTCGCAGTGAGAGCAATCATTTTAGGGCCATCAATCACTGATAACACTAAACTGATGAGCGGTAAAAGCTTTTAAAGCGTCGCCTATGGCCAATTTTGGGTAATGTAGTTTTTTTTGAGGTTTCGCACGCACGCGCAATTTTAAGGCTTGACATGTTTGGTGTCTCTTTGCCCGCCGTGACCCCGTCTTTTATATTTTACCAACAAATTTGGTAATAATAAATGTTTTAGAATTTAATATAAGGGAAACCTGTTTTGTTTTTTTTATCTGTAGTTTTTCCTTAATATATTAAAAAATAAAAACCCCAGTGGTGATTAAATACCACCAAAATAAAGCTCCATGTGTCCCCAAAAAAGGGTATAAAATTAATTTCAGTACAGCGCTGCATGACGGAATAAATGTCAAAGTACCACAGCGCTGAATACTGAAAAATGGCCTGGATGGGAAGGGGGTTTAACACCCCGGATGTCAACTTGTTTAAAAGCCCCCACAGGTCATCAATTTAGAGATACCCCAAAATACTGGCCCTATAATTGTTGCTCTCACTCCGGCGTGCGCGGCGATACCCAACGTGTAGTGCGTTCGTCGTTTTCATACGTAGGCGCACCCAACGCGTGTTTACGTGGCGACGCGCGGGGGACTTTTAAAAATGTTTTATTAGATTTATTTTATTTGAGATTTAATTTTAAAAACTGTTTTTTGTTTTTTACTTTACTTTGACTGATATTACATGGGGGGGCTTACAAGCCCCTTCATGTGATAGCAGATGGTTGTGACAGGTACTCTGTAAGGTGATGCAGGGGGTCCAAAAGACCCCCAGTGTCACCTTTACACTGGAAATAAGCTATTGAAGTGCAGATCGCTCTTCAATAGCTTATAGCTGGGCTGCAGGAGCCCAGAACTGACAGCCCAGGGACCGTAAGTGATGCAATCTGCATCGCTCCCGGTCCCATAGAACGGGGAGGGGATCGATGAACGGAAGTTCGTCGACCTGCTCCCCGCGGACGCCGGTCCCAGGCACGTAGGAGGGGCAACGGAGCCCGGGAAGCACGGCGGGGGGGGCGGCCCCTTCTTCGGGACACAGAAGCGATCTGGCGACAGGTAAGTCGCCAGAATTGCTTCTGTTGTAAAGCCGACAGTCGGCTCTACAAGTTTAAACAGACTCCCGGCGGCAAAAGTCGCCGGGAGTCTGTTTAAACAGCCCCGATGGGGTTAAAGGGGGAGGGGACAGGGGGCAAGCCTGGAAAAATGATGCAGCCACTTTATTGAAGGGCTGGCTAGCTGCAATATATTACATTTTTGTCCTTGGGTTTGGATTCCCTTTAAACATGTTGTATCAATGTTTCGTACACCTGCAATTAGGAGGGGAAGAGGTCCTGTGGTTGAATCATAGATCCATTTTCTGTTTGTTTCCAGCACAGGCAGGCAGATCACTGTTGTCTGAGACATTCCTGTATGATGTATGTGGAAGTCACTGCTTTCCTACATGGATACATTTATCTCTTGTTACCTCTGATCATTTTTAGGTGCCTTCGACTTGCTAATCTACACAGACAAGGATATGGAAGTGCCTGAAAAGTGGGAAGAATCTGGGCCTCAGTTTGTTTCCAACTCTGAAGAAGTGCGCCTTCGTTCCTTCACTACCACAATCCACAAAGTAAACAGTATGGTGGCCTACAAGAAGATAGACTCTTAGATTTCTTTATTTTTTTTATTGATGTACAGAAAGCTGCTTTGTCATTGTCTCTGCTGCATACGTCACTAGTGACCTTTGTCCTGATGTAGCTTTTAATTGTCTCTTATCGCTGATCTGGGATTTTGATCTAAATTGTACAATAATTGGGGAGGCTATGTGGGCTTTTTAGGCTTGCATACAAATTAGTAGTGTGAAGAGGTTTCCAGTTTATTATTCTATTTTTGACCCGGCAGGTTACTGTGATTTTTGTACTTTTTATCAGGAGAATGTTCCTGCTGCTTAGATGTTACATTTCCTATCGAACAAGAAACATTTGGTCCCGCCATTACTCCCAGATCTCTCCTCCTGTTTTATTTATATGGATAAACCTTGACATCACAGATTTTGTTCTTGTAAATGTCAAGTTACCTGTTTCAAAACCTTTTTATATAATAAAGTGTGAATATTAATGTATTTGGCAGTGTGGTCTTGTGTTTATATGGCATATGATGAGCGCAACTGCAGCTAAAACATTTTTTAATAGAGCAGCTCTGACTAAATAGTTGCCTGTACATATCTGTATAATCCCCCTGCAGAAAATCCCAGGCTGTGTTCTAGCACAGCCCATCTCAACCAGGGTGCCTTCTGGCTTCCTCTGGGCTGCCTCAAAATTTTCACACGGTATCATGCATTTTCATGGTGCTGGCAGGTTGCCCACAAGCACCATGGAAACGAATAATGCTATTCTAGGGAGGCTAATAACCATTCAGAAAAGGATTGAAGTGCTGCACCTTCTGCTATGGCTCCTGCTGTCATGGTAGGGCTCTGATTTGAAGGGGCATCTGTGGACTGTGATGTGAAGGTGGGGCTTCTGATGAGAAAGAGGAAATTCTGGTGGGCAAGCAGAGGGATCTGATGTGAAAGGGAAAACCGCATGTTTTTTGGTGTGGGGTCCTCCCTCAAAATCCATACCAGACCCCTATCGGATAAGATGAGGGTCTGGTATAGATTTTGGCCACATAGGTTTTTACATTTTCCTGGCCGTGTAGTGTAAGAAGGATTTTTTCAATCATCCACAGAATACTTTTATTTTCTAAATCGGTTCACAGAATTCCAGCTGTTCTGTAAATGGACATTGGGTGAGGAGGGTTGGATAAATGACAGAACAGCTTCTTTGTATGAGCTGCAGCTCTCACTGTTGCAGCGCCAGAAGTAATGCGCTAGTTGTCCTTTCCGGGTCTTTTTAAAGCTTGTGCTCACACAAAGACCTTCCCTATATCTTCTATGCTAGAACAGATCCTCTTTGAGGACTGTAAACATAGCATGCAATAATGACGTCCTTCCGATGTTGTAAAGAAGCATTTTACCTTTTGTAAAATGAATTCCTTGACAAATAGTCTCTTTTTGTGGACTCTCATTTCATCACCTTAATGTACATCTTGTGAAAAACAATATTGTGCCGAGCTAATAATCATACATATCTAATAAATTGAAACATATATAAGTGAGTCACATATATGAGCCTTCAAACAAATGAGGCATAGAAAATATCTACACAAAGACAAAAAAGCAATATAGACAATAAAAAGTCTCAAGGAAAAAACAAAAGCAAACAATGGTGATTGTGCAAAAAAAATCCTCAGATGATTCGCAGCCAATCTGCATATAACTCTCAGGTAAGGATAATCACACAATGCAGGCAGACCTTCACCTCCACCCAGTGAGTGATGACAACAAGTGAGTGCTCACCTGGGGAGGTAGACCTACAGAGCTAGGTCAAATGCACTTTTTCCCTTCTTAATGGGGGAGGGAAGCCCATGCACAGAAAAGGCGATAAGGTCTCCTCAGATCACAGGTACCAGTATAAATCCAGGTGGAAAGAGAAAAAGGACAAGGACATAGTGCGATACGCCCAATAAAATGCAAATTATTAAATAAAAAATGCGTACTCACAATCACTCACTGGGTGGATGTCTGCCTGCATTGTGTGATTATCCTTACCTGAGAGTTATATGCACATTGGCTGCGAATCATCTGAAGGATATTATTTATTTTTAATGTACATCTTATCACTCATCATGGTGACATTACCTTTTAGGGACTTCACTGATAAGCAGTTCTCCCTATTTCAATCTCAATTAACCCGGAATGACCTCTGTTGGCGGTGAGCCATGTTTCAATAGATTACACCTTTTTATTATGGGCTCCTAATGCCGAACAAGACTCAAGTTTTGCAACTTATTAAGCAACTGTCTGAAGCCCTTTCAGTTGGTCTCTTTAGATGCTTCTAAGCTGGTGTCTTGCATGACAGTAATGTCTGTCTATATGCATAGGGCATTTTGGCTACATGCCTGGAATGTAGAGGGTATGTTTGAAAAGGCCTTTCTCTGGTTCATTGAAGGACACAGTGGAGATCATTAGATCTTGACCATTCGGTTATATTGCCACTATCAGAAATCTGACACTGGGCACACAAAAAAAAGCACAGCCTAAAGGCAGCTCCTGCTGGTGGCAAACGCCCCCAACAGACTCATCCACCTTACCAACAGTTCAGTGTCTGCCGCCCCCCTCTGCCAATCCCTCCACTGGCTCCCACTTAACGAATACAATTCTAAATACTAACAACATACAAAGCCATCTACAACTCCGCCCCAACCTACATCACTGACCATCTCAAAATATCCCCCAAACCGTCCTCAAGACCTCCTGCTCTCTAGCTCTCTCATTACCTCCTCCCATGCTTGCCTCCAGGACTTCTCCAGAGTGTCTCCCATCCTCTGGAACTCCTTACCCCAATCTGTCCGCCTATCTCCTACGCTGCCCACCTTTAGGCGATCCTTTAAAAACACATCCCTTCAGGGAAGCCTACCTCATCTTAACATAACTGGCTTTTGCTTCCTCCAATAACTCAATACAAACAATTATTACCTTTTGTATCACTTGCCCCTCCTACTAGATTGTAAGCTCTCACGAGCAGGGCCCTCCCAACCCTATTGTTCTGAAACTGTATTGTATTGTAACTGTACTGTCTCCACTATTTTGTAAAGCGCTCATTAAATTGTTAGCGCTATAGAAATCATGTATAATAATAATTCAGCTCTATGCCTAGTGTCAAGGAGTTAGGAGCTCCCTGCTGGGAATCTTGGTTCTCATTTTTTTTTTTCCTTCAAGTCTTTTATGTGTGGCTGGTATTTTAGTTCTGTGTAGTAGTATCATTTAAATAGGATTTTATTTTTGTATGAACTGTAAAATCATTCAGTTCATTGAAGGACATGGCTACCACCACTTGTGGGTTGTTTTTTTTTGTGCCTAGTGTCCTACTCCTGATGGTCCCAACTGTCAAGATCTCCGCTGGGTACTTCAATGAACGCAGAGAAAAGGAATTTACTGTGATGTGCATTTTGCACGATATCGCGCAAATGCTTGCATCAAAAAGCATTGAATCGCGGCAAAATCCGCTCCAAAAAGGGTCCTGCTGTAGCGACCTGCGACAGCAGGACCCTTTGCCCCATTGCAAAGCATTGAAGAGCGATATCGTGCGGTAAATAGCCGCGATATCGCGGGAATTACCGCGCGATAAATCGCTCAATGTGAACGGGGCCTAACACAGGAGATCTGTTGCTAATGGAGAAGTACTCCAGGCCTCCGCTAGTACAGCTGTAATATCTTGTAGGCGATCAGTCTGTCTCCTATGTGAACCAAAGATCAAAGATAGCAATAAACCTGTTGAAATGTGAACTCCCAGTTTTACTAGGACTTTTATAGCTGGCAAGAGTATACTGCATCCAGGAGTATGCACAGCACATACCTTAGACCGAGTATTGCCCCCTTACATTGATAGTAATGAAATGCCCACTTACATGGTGGTAAGTGTAATGCACTTAACATTAACAAACAGGGGTGTAATACCTGTTACATTAGTGAGCAAATGGTAACGTGCTCCTGGCTTTGGCACTGCTGAGGGACATGGGTGTTGGGGGCAGAAGATCACTTCACCCAGCAGTACATGAATGCCGACCTGGTGTTACTGGTCCCGAAGCACCCAGCAGCAGACCTAGGGCAACTATCCCTTGTCCATGAGCTCCTAGGGCTAGGCCATCTATATCTGAAAAAGATACTGTGGATGGGCAGATGAAAACATATTTAAATGATATCTCAAAACAGACATCTTGGTCTGTAGATCGTAGTATGCATGGTTTAGTCGAAATGATCTATAACCTTGAATATCGACCAAATGCTCAGACGAAGGGCAATACTGATTAATGATCCTTGTTTGTTAATAGGGATGCACCGATACCAAGTAATTGGCCAAATGCTCCGATACTTACCCCCGATACCGGAACTTCCGTTCAGAGGGAGATTTGCTATGACCGGCTGTGCCGCAAGAGAACGTGCAGCCGGCTTCCTGGCCAATCAGGGAGCCGGGCCTTGGGTAATGACAGTTGGCTCGATGCTGATTGGCTGGAAAGCCGGCTTCCTGGGCAATCAAGAAGCCGTGCAGTGGGTACTGACACGCTTTCCAGTTTCCTAATTGGCTGGGAAACCTGCTCCGTGCTGATTAGCTGGGATGCTGGCTTCCTGGTCAAACAGCATGGAGCCGGCTTCCCGGGCATTCGAAGTGGGTAATGACACGCTGCCCAGCTTTCTGATTGCTGCTACCGGAAGTACTGGTATCGGGTACCAAAATAAATATCGATACGGAAAAACCGGTATCGGTGCATCCCTAGTTGTTAACCTACCATGTTATGCCCTCTGTATATTAACCAATTCTTTAGTGACGGCTGCTTTTAAATAGCACTTTGTCGGTGGTATTCTTTGATCTAAACAAAAGGGAGATACCCAGCTATTAAATTCCACATAAAATTAAGAAATGTGGTGGAAGGATGTAGACATTTCATCTTATTTTACAAGTGAATGTATTTCATTCAAACTTGATAGTAAATTCTGAAATCCCATTGTTCCCTATGTTGTAAGTCCTGAATTGTCCAGTAGATGTCACCCTTGTACTGTATCGTCTATGTACCATTTTAGACATTAGATCATAGAGACAGCCTTTGTTGTCCAACTTTTCAGCAAGTTACTTTCCTTCTACTCATGCAACATGTTATAAAGATGTATTTGTCCCTCTAATATGAACAAAGTTTATATTTGTTTTCCAATAACATTCTGAGTATGAGATAAAGCCATGTACAGATCATAAAGATGAATACAGCTTCTGTTTATGAAACAAGGACAAAAGACCGCTGAGAGATAAAACCATAGTTTGATTTGATCCAATACTTTGTAGGGCTTACTGGGCTCTCCGTTTTAGTAAATCCAAAGAGTATGCAGTCACCTTATGTTGCTTGCTATCCTATAACTATGCTAATACTACTGTATG